AGAGACAGAAAGGTCTGTGACCACTAGAGATCGCTCCCCTCAGAAGCCGGACTGCACCCCAAGATTCCTGGTACTCTGCTCTCAGTAAGTAGCTACTTTGGCCATGTTAAAAACATTCTTACAACCGTGTCCCTGAGATGCCCTAGTATGTCACAGCCATTAAACACCCCTGGCTGGCCCGGGTCAGCCGGCTCACGCTCGCGGGGCTCCGGCTGCAGGGCTGTAAAATTGCTGTGTAGGCGTTCGGGCTCTGTCTGGAGCCAGAGCTCGGGGACCCCGTGGTGGGGAGGGTCCCAGAGCCCTGGCTTCAGCCAGAGTCTGAATGTCTCCGCTGCAGTTTTTAGCCCTGTGAGCCGCGCACCGCGAGCCCGAGCCGGCTGACCCGGGCCAGCCGCAGCTGTGCAGCAGGTCTTCTATTCCAGGGTAGACGTACCCTCTGTGGCTAGGGTTTAGGGGAGACTTAGAGTTAGGACTCCCGAGTTCAGTTCTTGGCATTGACCCCTATTTAGAATATGACCTTGGGCACATCACATTACTTCCCTGAGCCTTATTTTCCCCATCTGTAAAATGGATGAAGTAGAATTTGCCTGATCAACTACATTGCAAGACATAATTCTCTCTCTCACTCACTGTCTCTTCTGTTTCAGAGTAGCAGCCGTGTTAGTCTGTATCAGCAAAAAGAACGAGGAGTCCTTGTGGCACCTTAGAGACTAACACATTTATTTGGGCATAAGCCTTCGTGGGCTAAAATCGCTTCATCAGATGCGTGAAGTGGAAAATACAATAGGAAGCCATATACAGAGAACATGAACAGATGGGAGTTGCCTTACCATCTCTAACGAGACAAATCAATTAAAGTGCGCTATTACTCAGCAGGATGAAAAATCACTTTTATAGTGATAATCAGCATGGCCCATTTCACACGGTTGACAAGAAGGTGTGAGTAACAGTAGGGGGATAATTAACATGGGGAAATAGTTTTAGTTTGTGTAATGACCCATCCACTCCCAGTCTTTATTCAGGCCGACTTTGCTGGTGTCCAGTTTGCAAATTAATTCCAGTTCTGCAGTTTCTCGTTGGAGTCTGTTCGTTTTTGAAGTTATATTTTTGTTGAAGGATTGCCACTTTTAGGTCTGTAAAAAGCAACAGAGGGTCCTGTGGCACCTTTAAGACTAACAGTTAGTTCGTCTTAAAGCCGCCACAGGACCCTCTGCTGCTTTTTACAGATTCAGACTAACACGGCTCCCCCCTGATACTTGACACTTTTAGGTCTGTAATTGAGTGTAGTGTAACCTCAAGCCTTTACTTCTGTTTGGATTGAATACACGAACGGGAGAGCTATTGTTTTTGCAGGGAGAGCAAAGCCAACCTCTGTTTCCTGCACGGGTTGTAACTACAGGGTTAAAGCCAAAACTATTCTCAAGTTTGCACAGGGCAAATTGTTCAAGTTCCTCTGGGCATTGCTGTGCCCGGGCGCTTCGCTGTTCAATCAAAGGACAAAGCTGGAGCCTGTTTTGACAAGCCCTCTGACTGGGGCTTGCATTTTCTTTTCAAAGGCAATCACGCATGCTCCTTCTCAGGCAGTCCTGCTCTGGGTCTGCTGGGAATTGGACCAGCCAGCGGACTTTGGCTGAGTTAGGGCAATAGAACAAAATCTGCAGTTTAGAGGTTTTTATTGTCTGAAACTTGACTACAGTGGTGGAAATCTCAGTGAGCTTCAGTTCCCAGGCAAAGTGCGTGTGTTGATTTGAGGGCTGATTCAGCCCATTGTTACCAATGAGAAAAGCAGGAGTGTGACAGGATAGGCCAAGTGCATGGAGCATGCCACTGAAGTTGGTTCCCGTCTTCATCTGGAGTGTTTTTCCGTGTTAGCATTTGCCACAGAGCCAGGAGGATTCTGAACGCGACCGGAGGGGCACCTGCTGTAGGATTCCAGCCCCTGGAAGAAAGTTGTTTTCACCCAAGTTTGTATTTCAAACTCCATGTGATCTGAGAATGGGTTCGAAATGGGACTGCAGCGTCCCCTCCACACGCCACCCAGGGAAGGTATGGGAGTGACAGTAAGGACACAGTTTCTGTTCCCAGCTCTGCAATTGATTTCTGTGCCCGCAGGCTAAGTCCCTTAGGGCATGTCTGCACTGCGATTGAAAAACCCGAGGCTTGGTCAGCTGACTTGGCGTCGCGGGGCTCGGACTGCCGGGCTGCGGGTGTTTTATCCCTCTGGGTACGTCTACACTGCAATGTAAGCCCAGAGTTCAAACTCCGGTTCAACCCTAACCCCCCTTCCATCTACACATATATCACCTTAACCCAGGGCTCAGACCCAGAGTGTGGAGTTCGAGCCTAAATCGAGCTGGGGCCCAGGGTTCAAGCCCTATTGTTTTGTAGTGTAGACACAGCCCCACTGGACTTGTGCTCTAGGAAGCTGCCAAAACTATCCCATAGGCCAACTTTCTTTGTCCTCTGACCAGTCAAGTTAGATGGACCGTCAAGTTTCCCCACCCTCCACCACGAACCCAGGGCCTCGTTTTGGGAGCACGCTAGGAAGTCTGGGAAATGAGTGGCTGGACTTGGGGACACGTCTCTGATTCCCCAAGCTTGCTCGCTTGCTTTTTGTTCACGTGAAGTTATTTTCAGCGGCTTGCTGTACTTTTTAATTCCCGACTAGTTCTTACAGCGCTCAAGGAAATCCAATTCAGTAGCTGCTTCGGGCATTTTTGCCACTTGGAATTTCTGTTTGTGAGAGGAGACTCGAATGGCACTAGCCAGTTTGTTTGCTGCCAAAATATGTTCCCACTAAACATTTAGAAAAAGCTGCCTCAGAACAAAAATATACACCCTCCTTGAGCCTTGTATTTTCCCAAACCGCACTGAACCGTACATATAGTACAGGCGGAGGTGTCGCTGTGCCAGTTAAACAACTGGCCTCTCTTATGAACCCTGGCAGCCACCTCCAGTTTCCGAATGGGAACAGGTTTGCAGCAACTCAGCCGGGCCTGCTGCGTCCAGAGGAATTCTTCTGCTCCAGCTGCCACTCTTACCCAGTTCCAGGCCATGCCTGCTCAAAGCAGCATTAAACATAAACACGGGGCTTCTTTACAATGCTGTTCTGGTCACAACGTCCCGTGAACAAGCCCTCGCCAAAGCCAGGTGTCCTGAGCACGGCAGCCGTGCTAGGCAGACGACAGCTGTGCGTGCCATCGGCCAGCTCTCGCCAAGCCCAGTTACCACTTAGAGCAGACGTTCTCAAACTGGGGGTCAGGACCCCTCAGGGGGTCGCGAGGTTATTACATGGGGGGGTCGCGAGCTGTCAGCCTCCCCCCCAAACCCCGTTTTGTCTCCAGCATTGATAATGGTGTTAAATATATTATAAAGTGTTTTTAATTTATAAGGGGGGGGTGGCACTCAGAGGCTTGCTGTGTGAAAGGGGTCACCAGGACAAAAGTTTGAGAGCCACTGACTTCGGGTATGTCTACACAGCAAAGAAAAGCTGACTCATGTGCGCGGGGCTCGGGCTGCGGGGCTGTTTCATTGCTGTCTGGACTCTGGATGATGGGAACTCCGCGAGCCGGAGTCAGCCACCCGCCGCTGTCCCATGGTAGCTAGTTACTGGGTAGACACGCCAGGTGCAAGCTGGTCCAGCTGTGTGCTGGGCAGACAACGTGCTGATGCAGGGCGTGCTACTTCGTTGTAACCTACGTCTTGAGCCAGAGCATAGACTAAGAAAGAAGGCAACAAATGTAAGGGCCCCCACGCCGATTATCTGGTCTGGGAATCTGAGCAGCAGACAGGACCAAGGCAAACAAACCAGTGTGGTTTACCGACAACCCACGGTGCTGTCCAAGTGGCACGCGGTTCGTGTTCGCAGCCCTACACCCTCAGTCATGCTGGGCTGTGACACTGTGAACTGGCCAACGTCCAGCACGGGCTCTTGTTCTCTTCCCGGGAGAGAACGACATCCTCTGGGAGCCGGCCAGGCTTTGTGGTCCCTCTGGCAGGAAGGCTGGCGTGCTGGGTCTCCGTCAAACCGTGGTAATCGAGAATGAACTTCCCACATGTGCACAAGCGTGGTTGGAATCTGCTTCCCGGTGCCGTACGCAGGCAGGAGGCATTTCAGGGAGATAACGTCCGATCATGGAGTCAGGGCTGTGCACCTGGGAAATCCCTCCTCCTAACTCACTTCTCCCGGGGTGCCTGAAAACCGCACAGCCGTGGCCTGGCAGCTGGGGTGCTGGGCCTGCTGCGTAGAACGCTTCTCGGACAATCACGCCGCTCCCAGTGCGGGGCTTCCGTGGGGATTCGGGTCAGAGAGTTGAGAGGGGTCTAGAACGGGAGGGGTGGCTGGTCTCTCTCTCTCTCTCATGTGGCCTCTCAAGCTTCCCCCGAGACCCTCCCAGATTTCTTCCACAAGTCCCCTAGGGTTTGCGTTCTGCGCCGTGTCGGGGGGACGTGGCGACGATGGTTTAGGCATAGCCAGTCTCAGCACCAGGCTGTGTATATTTACTGGCTCCAAGCAGCAGTTAGTGCCACTCTGTGCCTGCACCCACCTCTGAAGGAGCTGCTACCCCATAGCACACTTGGGGAAACCGAGTCACGGAGAAGCAAAGTGACTTGCCCAAGGTCACACAGGCAGGTGGGAACAGACTCCCAATCCCCTGACTGCCCTGCGCCAGGCTGGCTATGGCATTGAAATCACTTCCTTCGTTCTTCATGCTCAGTTTTTCCTTGATTTCGCTCATCACTCAATGTTTATCTCATTTGCTGCTGGCCCCTTCCCAATCCCTGCTTTCGGCCATTGATTCACCCTTAGCACAGACGAAATGGCAGGATTGCCTCCCTGTCTTCAGCAGCAGCTGGTGGGGTGGGCCCAGATACCCCCGGAATGCCGAGCAGTGGCAGGTGGCGAATGAAATCTTGAGTGTGGCGCGTTCACCCGGAGGGCGGCTCTGGCTTGTCTTAGCAGGGCACTTACCAGCTGGCTCTTTCTTCCCTTGTTTTAGCTGAACCAGCTGGAGGAGGCAGCAAATGCAGCTCACACCTTCTTCATGGCAAACCCCGAGCACATGGAAATGCAGCAGGACCTTGAGAACTACAAAACCATGGCCGGGAAGGTCCGTCTGGTCGATCGAGAGGCCAAGCCGCACATGGTGAGTTTGGAGAGATGGTTTCCCACTCAGCTGAACAAGTATGTCAACTGTCAGCCAACTTGGGGACGAGTTTTGGGCCTGGAGGAAGGCAACACGGGGGGAGGGATAGCTCAGTGGTTTGAGCATTGGCCTACTAAGCCCAGGGTTGTGAGTTCAATCCTCGAGGGGGCCACTAGGGATCTGGGGCAAAATCAGTACTTGGTCCTGCTAGTGAAGGCAGGGGGCTGGACTCGATGACCTTTCAAGGCCCCTTCCAGTTCTAGGAGATGGGATATCTCCATTCATTTACAATTTACTGGCCAAGCTCTGTTGGACGGTGTTTACAATGCTGTGACGTGAGCTCTAGCAGGCTAGCACGAGAATATCGACATGCGAGCCTTCTGCCATGTCTGTGAGGCAGCATTTGTCAATTTCCACCCCGTAGCATCTGCCTGGCTGTGCCGTTACCCTGTGCATGGCCGAGAGGTAACCACAGTGTCTGTGGTTTACGTCAGTAAGCATAGACCTGGCGGCATGTTCATTTTGCATTCATTTATACTTCCCTACGGGCGTCTGTGCACCTGTATTTTCACTGTATTCCAGCCATATGCATTTAGCCAGGGCACTTATTCACCCACCTGTTTTATCCAGGTACATCCAAGGCGATGCATCAAATGTGAAATTCTGAGGGCTAAGCCCTGGCTGGCAGTGGACATGCCAGTGTTCCCTGGTTGTGAAGGTTCAACTGGGAAAGCAAATCTGTCAGAATTCCCTTTTCTTTTCCGATGTGTGTCCTCTCGGCGCTGTCTGCACATCCTCAGTTACACGTGTCCCCTGTTGTATGCCTGGTGACCCAACGCTCCAGCCTGTCCTCTCCTTAGAGGAGCTGCTGACCCACGTGCTGACTGCTCTCGGTATCAGCAAGGGCCTGGTTTGGCGGACGGCTCAGTAAAGGGCAGGCTTTGCACACGTTTTGTAAATGGGTCTCACGCATTGACATGGGGCGGGATTCTGCAGACCGCCTGAGACGCACCCTGCACAGGATGGTCTGAGTGAGGGGGGAGTGACAAAGGGGTATTTAAGCCATCTTCATTCCCTGCCTCCTCCAGCCCCGGGCCTGATCCAGAGCACAGATGTGTCTCTTTTCCCAGCCGTGCCACCAGTGCCAATGCTGGGCGAGGTACCGGCGTTAAGTCAGGTCCACGAGCATGATCCAGTGCTCATTGAAGCCCATGGAAAAACTCCCATGGACTCCGTAAGGTCTTGGATATGGCCATGTGTTATCTAGTGGTGCCCAGCCGGTTAAGCCAACTGCTTTATGAAGCAACCAAAATGAACCCCAAAACTGGGCTCATCGCAGTCACTGGCTAATGATTTCGTAGAGCTCGGGAGAATGTACACCCAGGAGGTTCGTTAAGCAAACATCACCGTTCGTACAGCATAATGTGCAGTTCTACAGGATTCTCTTTTAGACCAGTGTACCCCACGGGCACTGATTTAGTCCCAGTGTTACAACACCTCCCATGCTTCCCGGCTCCCTAATGAGCCTGCCGGGCTTCTTTGCAGGAGAACTACAGCGCAGGGGTGAAGCACTATGACCAAGAAGAGTACGCGCTGGCCATCGAGTCCTTGGAGCGAGCGCTGCGGGGCTACTACACCGCGGATGTGGAGTGCCGGGTCACGTGCGAGGGGCCTCAGCGGTTCGAGGAGTACGAGTACTTGGAGTATAAAGCTGACCTCTATGAAGCAATTGCAGGTGAGGTCTCTAACCAGTTCCCAAGTCCCCTTGAGGCACAGGACGTGTATGTGCCTTGGCTCTGGGGGGTTTTCAACTAGAAACTTTTACACCTTTGCTGAATTTGGCAAAGCAGCTTCCCTTCAATAACCGGCAGCGCTGAACTGTGAAGCCAGCGGGGACCCGGGGACTCCTCCTTTTAATCCGGAATCGGAAACAATCTCCTTCAGTGGGCCTGGGGCTGACGTTCAGAGACGCTGAGCCCCTGCAATTTTCATTGATTACAGTTGGTGGTGTGGGTGCTCAGCACGTCTGAAAATCAGGTCCTCCGCCTCTCTGCCTCTGTTTTTCCCTCTGCCGCATGGGGACATTAACGTCGGCCTGACCAGCGTGCTGCGTGCCGTGCACTAGCTAGCTGTGTGGAAAGTGTTCTGAAGATGCTACGGGGTCTAGAACGATGCGCGTAAGGACACAGGACTGAAGGAGCCTCCTGGGTCATAGCTAGGGCCCTACCAAATTCACGGTCCGTTTCGGTCAATTTCACGGTCATGCGATTTTAAAAATTGTCAATGTCATGATCTCCGCTATTTGAATCTGAAATTTCACGGTGTTGTAATTGTAGGGATCCTGACCCAAAAAGGAGTTGTGGGGGGGGAGGGAGCCTTCAGAGCTGGGCGGCTGGAGAGCAGCGGCTGCTGGCCGGGAGCCCAGCTCTGAAGGCAGAACCGCCACCAGCAGCAGCGCAGAAGGAAGGATGGCACGGTATGGTATTGGCACCCTTACTTCTGCGCTGCTGCCTTCAGAGCTGAGCCCTCGCTCAGCAGATGCCACTCTCCGGCCGCCCAGCTCTGAAGGCAGCAGCGCAGAAAGAAGGATGGTATGGTATGGTATTGCCACCCTTTCTTCTACGCTACTGCTGGCTGGGTGCTGCTGTCAACGCTGGGCACCTGGCCAACAGCCGCCACGCTCTGGCTGCCCAGCTCTGAAGGCAGTGGAGAAGTATGGGTGGCAATACTGCGACGCCCCTAAAATAACCTTGCGACCCCCTCCTGCCCCCCTTCCCCCGCAGCCCCCTCTTAGGTCAGGACCCCCAGTCTGAGAAACGCCGGTCTCCCCCATGAAATTTGTGACGTATAGGGTAGAAGCACAGAAAAGGCCAGATTTCATGAAGGGAGACCAGATGTCATGGTCCATGACGCATTTTTCATGGCCGTGAATTTGGTAGGGCCCCACTCATAGAGTCTGGTGCCTGCCATTGGAGGCGGCCCTGTCATATGACCTCATTCATAAACTTCTCATGCTCCATCTTAAAACGAGCTCGGGTTCGTGCTCCCCGAATACGGATTGGAAGGCTGTTCTTGAGCTTGTGCATGCAGGGGTCCAAGTTCATCCCTGAAGTCCACGATGAGTCTGTTTCTGAATTTCACGACTGGTCCCTGTCACCGTAACAGGCTGAACCAAAACCCCCAAACATCCGGAATCCAGATTCTGACAGTTGTGCACTTGCTGACCTGCAAGGCCCTCTGGCATGCTCCAAAGTCGGACATGCAGGGGCCTGGACTTGGGAGCAACGCGGCCCCTGTGTCAGGATAATGTGTTCACAACCCAGTGAATGATAACCGCTAGACTCTGCCCTTCTGTCGCTCTTTCCAGCGGAGGGAGCTAAAAGCACTGTGCAAATGTTGCATAGCACCCCGGGGAGAGGAATTACCCCCCTGTTTATAAAGAGGGGAAAACGGGGGCACAGAGAGGAAGCAGCTTGCCTGTGATCAATCAGCGAGTCATTGGCAGAGTCAAGACTGGAACACAAAACTCCTGGACCCCAGTCCTGTACTTTCACCCACATGGCCATCCTACCTTCCATCTGCCTAGACTGCTTGAGCTGGGGAGGGCTACACAGCTGGGTCCCGGGACAGGCAGGCATGATAAATAGGCCCAGCACATCTCATCCCTTGTTTTCGTCCGGGAGGGAGGGATTTTGTCAGGTCATATTCTGAACAGCTCATTGTCTGAAGAGGCTGGGGACACTGACAAAAAAATAGGACAGATGCTAAAATAATGGGGAAACAGCAAAGAATTACTAGAGATTAGAAACCCGGGCAGGGAATTGAACACTGCCGCTATACTGTCCTTTGATTTGCATGTGTGGTCCTGAGCAAGGCAGGGTTAAGTGGGAACCCTCTCTCCATAAACTGGATTGCCTGTAATTAGCAGTAAGGGAAAGCCCACTTGGCTTCAGAAGTCCTAGATCTGCAGTTGGCCTGTCAGCTCTGAGAGCTGATGCACGGTCTTTGGGGGATTGTTTTTCGTCTGCTACTAGGGAAAATATTTCCATTCAAATGCAGATTAGTTTTTATTTGTCAAAACTCATTTGCTAGCACAAAGTTGAGAGCCCAACTGAGACCAATGAGACAGGAACCAATTAGTAAAGCAAGAGGGAAGACTTTGTCCGATGATTTATCGATCGATCAGTTTTGGAACAAGACAGCAGATTGCTTTTAATATTTAGTCATGCAAGAAAAAAAGAGAAGTTTTCAAAGGCCGGATCCGCAGGTAGATTTCATACCTGTATGTCAGTTAGGGATGTCATTTCCCCCTTCCCCCCAATATAGATATACCGGTACGTACCCTAGTGTAGATATAGTTATATTGCCGTAAAGGTGTCTTCTTCTGCAATATCTTATTCTCCTTCCCCTACAAGAATAAGCTATCCCAGGGTAACTGTGTCCATACTAGGAGGCGTGTAGTGCTTTAACTATACCAACATGGTTAAATCTACACCAATATAGTAAAAGTCCCACTTTTGTGTGTGGATAAGCCCTAAGAGTCTCCGCGTGATAGGCTAATACCGCTCTGCCATCCATCCTCTCCGGTTACCTATACCAAACCCTGGGCATCCATGCATGAGACCAGGAAAATCTGCTGCTCCTCCTCCCCCTGAAGCATGCTCCCAGAGACCAGCACTGCTGAGGTCCCACCTCCTTTCCAAACAGAGGGTTCTTTGCTGAGAGTCCCAAGGAGACAGCCCTAGCGTCAGTCAGCTTTGATCAGCCTCCTTTGGGGAGATCATTTGGCAAAGCTGCAGGTGGGACTCATTCCCAGTGGGGAAAAAGTCACGCTGGTTTAGTGCACGTATGTTGTGCTTGCTGCGCTCGGTGGCTTTACGCTCTGATGGCAATGTGTGCGGGGGTGTCGTCTGGGGAATTGTCAGAGCAGCAACCGAGTCAGGTCGTGCCGGGAGGAAGAGGAGCATTGCCGTGGCATTAGTGAATGGTGCCACACCCGGTGCTCTGGAAAGTAAAGCCCCGGAGCAGATAAAGTGTGGGCAGTGCAACCTCCCTCCACCCGCGCCCTGTCACTGTTTCTCACAATGGACGCAGAGGGACCTCATCTAGGCTGAGAAGATTCTTCCGTGTCCATAGCCCACTCAGTCGTTGGCCTTGCTACTTACTGGGGCCAGTGGTGCGAATGGTTTGTGTGATGCTGTCCATTGGGAATTGGGAAAGACCAAGAAACTCACTTCCCAGAGGCCACTGAACAGCCATCATATGAGAGAGGTTTTCAGTTCTCACTTAGATTTAACTCCATGGCCAGGAGGTGAAAGAGTTTACAGCCCGTTACCAAGTCCCAGAGCCATCCAGCCACCCATAGAAACCAGCTTGACTGGAGCAGCTAGGCAAAATAATGTAGACTCCTGTTGCTGTTACTTGTCTTCCTACGTAGGACTGAGAGTGATACACTACAGGATGTCTTACTCCGTAATTTACTGACAGGTCTCTGGTTCCCAGACTCACTATATTTAGTGGAAAGAAGGAATTCTGATGCTATTGAGAAAACAGTTTTAAGTTTCTCCAAAACAGTGTTTCATTTCCTATCCTGAGCTATTTTGTAGTGCTGCTGTGGGCTGTTGACGATGCAGAGATGGCTGCATTTCAATGGTGAGTAATGATTCCTGCACTGTAGCCTGTAAAATTTGGAAGGACGCTTTGAGAGCATTGAGGGGAAGCACTATATGTCAGTGATGATTGATATTAGGATCTGCTGCCAACCTTCAGATCTAGGATGCTCCTGATAGATTTAAAGTTTAGCTTCCCCCTCCCCCACTCTCTTTAGTGTGTATGGAAAATCAAATGTCCACTCACGCTAACAGTTCTTTGAATCCCCAGAGCAAAACGGGGACTGTTTTGAGTTTCCACTTGATTTCAATGCAAATTCCGAAAGCCGGCGTTCTGGCAGCTTGGGGGAGCGCTCTGGTAGCGGAGCGCATGTTTTATTTCAAACCCATGTTTGTTCCTTAAAGATTTTAATTGTATGCAGAGACGCAGCAAGCAAAGTCAATTTGTAAGTACATTGCAGAAAAGGTCCCGAAGTGGAATCAGATGTCCGCTTTGGCTTGTAAATGCTACAGCTGACACAGCACATGTACTGTATGCTTTCACTAATTAGAAATCTTGTTTATGGCAGATGCTTGCTAGTCCGTTAAATTAACCGGAGAAATTTGTCGTCTTTAAGAAGCGATGAACAGAGGTCGTCTGCCGATAGCATTTCCCCCCTTAATATTAGCAGTCCACATTCCGGCCAGTTTAGCTTGAGTGTTCGCACTGAACTTCCCAACCTGACTTCAGCAGTATTGTCACTCAGCCGGTATGTGCCCCCTATTGTGCATTATGCTGTTGCAATAGAAAAAGGATCAAAAATCCAGTTCTTAGAGTCTTTTGAAAGAGTTCTCCAACAGGAGTATATTTCGTTGTCAAGGGATGAAATTGAACACAGGAAATTATAGGCTGCACATCAGCCAGAACTTTCTAATAGATCCTGTTACTTTGTAGATTAGTCTCCAGAAGGAAGCAGTGGAAACCTTGTTGCAAGACGCATTTAAAAACAGATTGAACAAACCACTGGAAAATATGCAGTAGGGAGCAATCTTACCCTATTCCTCACCCGATGGGCTAGATGACTTCATAAGTCTTTCACATCTCAAGTTCCTTTGATCTCTTTCTTGGTGTCCCTCAACTTCGTTTTGACCCTCAGAGTCTGACAACTTCAGTTAATTCCCATTGCAAAGATCTCTCAAGAGGCCTATTGTACGTCGAGGTAGCTTTGCTGTGGCTTTAGACAGAAATCGTAGCTTTTCCAGTACAGTCTCCCCTCACCACGTGCAAAATTAACATCCTTGGAAATGGACATGGAGTAAAACATCAGACACCTGCATCCAAGTTGTGTCTGCAGCGTATGTGCTTGCAAGATGCTCAATCCCCGAGTTTAGTTACGGGTCCTGTTAGAAAGGAACATGGCAGAAGTCCCAGATATTGGGCATGGACAATGTGTTCCTGTAACTTGCTGAGCACCCTTATGTCCCACTGGCTTCTCCGGATATACTCGGCAGCTTACAGGATGGGGGCCCCTGTGTCTTTGATCTACTTGTGACATGAAAGTTGGTCTCCATAAACCCAGCTGAGCTCGTCTCAAGAGCTGATCATCACCCTTCCGAGCACAGACATTGTCATGTCTCTCTTTCCCTTGCAGATCACTACATGCAGATCCTGGTGTGTCAACATGAGTGTGTCCGAGAACTAGCCACCCGTCCCGGGCGTTTATCACCCATCGAGAACTACCTTCCCCTCCATTACGACTACTTGCAGTTTGCCTATTACAGAGGTAAAGCTGGGCTTCTCCATTTCTAGCAGCCCTTGCTTGGTTTTGTTACCCTTTGGGTTAGTGGAGACTGTTTTATTTGGGGATTTAAATATTCTCCTCTAGGGGTGTTCCATCCCAACGTAATGGCACTGGCTACTTATGAGAGGAGACTCAAAGAGCTTGGCTTGTTTAGCCGAACCAAACGAAGGCTGAAGGGAGATCTGATCGCTCTCGATAAATACATCAGAGGGATAAATACCAGGGACGGAGAGGATTTATTTAAGTTAAGTGGCAATATGGGCACAAGAACAAATGGAGATAAATTGGCCATCAACAAGTTTAGGCTCAAAATTAGACAAAGGTTTCTAACCATCAGAGGAGTGAAGTTCTGGAACAGCCTCCCAAGGGGAGCAGTGGGAGCAAAAAAAACCTAACTGGCTTCAAGACTCAGGTTGATAAGTTTATGGAGGGGATGGTATGACGAGACTGCCTAATGGCATGTGGCCCATTGGCGACTGCCAGTAACAAAAATACTCAACTGCTGGAGATGGGACAATAGAGGGGGCAGTCTCTGAGTTACTGCAGAGAATTCTTTCCCAGGTATCTGCCTGATGGGTCTTGCCCACATGTTCAGGGTCTAACCAATCGCCATATTTGGGGTCTGGAAAGAATTTTTCCCCTGGTCAGATTGGCAGAGACCCTGTGGGGAGGGTTCACCTTCCTCTGCAGCCTGGGGTGTGGGTCACTTGCAGGTTTAAACTAGTGCAAATGGTGGATTCTCTAAAACTTGAAGTCTTTAAACCATGACTTGTGCACTTCAGTGTCTCAGCCAGAGGTTGGGGTCTATTTCAGGAGTGGGTGAGGTTCTGTGGGCTGCGTTGTGGAGGAGGTCAGACTAGAATAGATAATCACAATGGTCCCATCTGACATTAGTCTGAGAGCATGAGAACCAGAAAATAAATCCGGTTAGAAACAGAGAGTGGAAAAGCCCTGTCTAGTGTTACTCTCCAAGCTGAATGAAGTGCAAAGAGTGAAGGGCCAGATTTTTGAAGGTATTTAGATGCCTAAATAGGCACTGGGTAGGGGAGTTAGATGCCAACGCGCTGTTGAAAATCCCACTGTGGGCTTATCTGTGTCTTTAAGCCCCTAAATAAGCTTTAAATAGTCTGGCTCTAAGTGCTTGTCTAAAAAACAGCATTCCCAGACTCATTTGCTCACAACCAACCACCACAAACTCCTGAGATTGGCTTAACAATCACGAGATTCTTTTTTTAATGATACATTTTGGGATCTTTTCATTGGCTTTCTCGTTTCTGAGCCTTTGGAGTTCATGTTTGTGAGCTTTTCACTGCAACCACTAGGGCTATAAACTTCTCTTTTAACGAAAGGTGAACTGAGAATCTCGTGTAGTAACCTAAATAAACACCAAAGATTGCGAGAGTCGCAACGAAACCGCGAGCATTGGCAAGACCATAAAAGTATTTACTTGTGCTTATTGTCGATAGTAAAACAACATGTAGGATAAGACAATGGTCTGTTTGTTTATTAAAAGCACCCACAATTACAGTGTCCTAGAGAGGAATATACTAAGAGCCTGAGAAGGGGAAAATAAGCAAATGTGGCAATACAACATGAGACTCATAAATCATACTTAAAACTGGAAGGTTGCTCATTTCTCATATTCACTGAATTCCATCCCCCTTATTTTCTCTCGGGGATTGGGGTCTGCTGCTGATTCCGGGCTTCTGTCCTAGCTCTGTCCCTGATTTGCTGGGTGGCCTCGGAAAAGTCACACAACTTTTCTGTGCCTCAGTTTCCCTCTATGTAAAATTGACAGTATAAGACAGAGCTATTGCAGAAGGCTGTGGTGGAGCTGATACATAAATGTCTGTCATGAGCCTGGGGACCATCGGGTGAAAGTCTGTCTGAGTGAAAAGTCTCATCATTCTGTCTCTGGCTGGCTTCTTTCTTACCTCTGCTCCTAGTGCGCTGCAATGCACCTGTCACACCTGAGTCCCCTGGATGCCAGGTAATCCCCATGCCGTCCCCAACCTCTGCTCTGCTCCCTTGCAGTTGGCGAGTACGTGAAAGCCCTGGAGTGTGCCAAGTCCTACCTCCTGTTCCACCCGGACGATGAAGCTGTCTTGGAGAACGCGGATTATTACAAGAGCCTTTTGGAAGAGACTATGGACCCGGAGACCATCAAACCCAGAAAGGTGAGTATAAATGTATTGAAATGACCCTGCCCGGCACCACAACTGAAGCGTTGTTTGGAAGTAGCTCAATCGATGCAGTAATTTGGCAATCTCCTCGTACCGTCCCCGATTCTGAGGCAAGGTTAAAGGATTAAGGGCCAGGTGGTTCTCTCGGTCACATGGGTGTAAATCAGGATTAATGCCAGTGGCTGATGTGACAGTTTTTAGCCAAATGACAGCCAAGCAGGGCGGATGTGATGCCCATGTATGTGTACGGCCCAAGGAGGGAGAGGGATTGTTTAGGAGGACAGGACTAGGAGCAGTGTGATGAAATAGGGTAAGGAGCACCAGGAGAACGCCAGACATTGACGGCTGTTAGTCAGCTGGGGAAGTGGTGAAAGCCAGTCTTATCGCTTGAGTCATTTAAAGCTAGACTGGGCAAAGCACTCCAAACTGTTCTGCAGGGAACAGCTTTGCAGTAGGTGGGGTGGGGACTAGCCTTGGGTCAGATGACGAAACAGGACTTATTGAGTCACCACTGGAGGAAATGTCTTTGTAGCGATAATTTTCCCGTCGTGGGTACCTTTCCCATGCTGGAGAATGTTCCCGTCACAGCCCTGAGAGATGTGTCATCCTGCCAGAGCTGGATGTATCTTAGATGCTTATCTGGCTCCCATTTCCCTAGTGCCTCACAATGGGTAAGGAATTTATCCTCACAACAGCCCTGTGCAGTAGGGCAGGGCTGTTATACCCGCGTGCCGAGGGGAAGGAGGGGGACAGAGAACCTGAGGCCTGGTCTACACCTAAAATTTAGGTTGACCTAGCTCCTTTGCTTAGGGGTATGAAAAATTCACACCCCTGAGAGACATGGTTCAGCCGACCTAAACCCCAGTGTAGACGCCGTTTGGTCGATGGAAGAATTCTTCCTCGGTACTGCCTCTCGGCGGCTCCTACAGCAACGGAAAACCCCTTCCATCACTGCAGCAAGTGTCTGCGCTTGTAGCCTCAGTGCTTCGCCCGAGGTCACGCAGGAATCCTGAATCGGAGGCTCATGCCCTGACCAGCCTAATGCTTCCTTCTCCCTTCCCTCGGCTGTTTCAGGAAGCTGCCAAGTTTCTGAGGCGTCATAAGCTGGAATCTGACCTCTTGCAGATGGGAGCAACTGGCCTGGGATTCGTATACACCGAGCCGGTAACGACATGTAGCTCTTCCTGGCCATTACAGTTTGTTAGTTCCAAACTTTGCCGCTTGGTTTCGGTCCTGTTTTCTGTCCCCATTAGCAAGGCCAAGCGTGTGAGGTGAGGGGTACGGTATGTCTCAGAGCGGTCTATCAATGTCCGTTTTAAGTCCAGAAGAATTTATTAGCCTGACAAGCCATATAGGTGTTACCAGTGTGTAAAAGAGACGGACCTCACCTGTTAGACCCCCATCATTGTAGTAGGTGGCTGTCTCACATTCTTTAATATGGGCCCCTTTTCAATCTAGTTACAGGCCTTTTGGTGACCCTCATTGTGGTTTTGTCATCCATGAAGCACTCAATTAATGAATTAAACCTCCCAGCATTCTTGTCTACTGGGAAGTCATGTTAGCCATGTTTTGCTATTGGGGAAACTGAGGCAGGCACAGAGCGGCAAAGTAACTTGCCCAAGGGCACAAGGGAAGGCTGTGGCAGAGCAGAGAATTGAACGTGGACCCCAGGCCAGTGTGTTAGCCATTGGAACATCCTTTGTAAGCAGCTGAAGTAATGGATTTGCAGATTAGAGAACATCCTGAATGCCACTGGACTGCGACAGTGCTCCAAAGCCATGCACCCATGACTCTACCCATGTGGAAGTGCCGAGTGAAATATGCACTTGGATTCTTCGCTCCTTTCCCTTCTGCCTCAGCCTTTCTTCGGGAGAACCAATGCCATGGCTGTTACCTGGACTTTGTGCCATTTGCTGACACTGTGACCTGTGCACCTTTCCCTAACGCATGAGGGCAGAATGGTCCTGATAGAGATAGGAGGATCTGGACCCTCTCACAGTCTGGAGAAGTTTGAATGTTGAGGTAGACTTCATAGCGTGGCTTGTCTCTGTAATACCTGGACTCTGAACACAGCTCAACTTGGCGAATACTCAAGTTCAGAACCAAAGACATCTTGGCCCCATCTCTAGGGTGTTGTGGAGTATGTCAGAGCTGCTAACATCATCTGGTTTGTTGCTTGCCCTTCCTGCAGAGATCAGCAAGATGCGACACAAGCACCACTGCATGCGTTTTGGCATAGCTGGATGGAGAAAAGCATGTGTGTGTGTGTGTGTGTGTGTGTGTGTGTGTGTAAGAGAGAGAGACCACTACAGTCCATGGAGAAGGTCACAGAAAGGGTGTGTAAACATGCTCCCTGGGACATGCCAGCACAGACATCACCTGCACATTCCCAGAAACCCGTTTTTTCTACATTCCCATCTCCAGTGTTTAAAAACTCAAACGTTTTGTTTTTCCTCCCGAACTGTTTTCGTGAGTCACTTTGGTTCCGTGTAAAGAACCCGACCCCCCTCTCTCATTGCAGAGTTACTGGAGCAGCTCCAGCGCCCGTCAGGACGAGCACAGGTAAGTCACTGACCAAAGGCACAATCTTGTTTTCTGAATTTAGGGTTACACAGGAATCAACACCGGGTTTTAAAAGGGACGCTGCTGTGATCGAGAGAACAGTCTGTTTGCTGAAGAGAGCTGGAGCGGTACCTGGTGTTTCCAGTCCTGAACTCCAAATGTCCCAGCAAGCACAATAACTCAGCAGAAACGATGGGTCCCTTTTCAATCTAGTTACAGACCTTTCTGTAGCACCCATCGTGGTTTGTGTCTCGCAAACATTAATGAATTAAACCTCCCAGCACCCTTATCTAGTAGGGAAATGGTGTCAGCCAGGTTTTACTGATGGGGAAACTGAGGCACGGAGTGCCCAAGTGACTTGACCAAGGCTACCCAACCAGCCAAGAGCTAGAACCCAGATCTCCTGAGCCCTAGTGCTGTGTGTGAGTGCCAAAAAAATTCAGGTCTCTTTTTTTGAAGGTGTCTCAGGTTGGGCCCCCAAAATGCCTACTCTGTATTGAACATCGCCACCTTTCCTTTCCAATGTATTTCTTGTCCTGATCTTCTGACGGCTGCAAAAAAAGCAACATTCCCAGAATCTGAAACCACTGAAACCTTGTGGCTTTTCCTCTTCTCTCCTGCTCCTCAGAGTCCCCTCAGGTGTTAACAGTGAGCCGGCAGACGGTCCCGCCCTGTCTGTAGGAAAGAAACCTGCGCCCAGAATGGATCGAGAGCTGCGGGAGGGTAAGTCTGCGCAAGGGATCTCCACCCAAACCAGAGGCTTTCTGGGAGCAATGAAGACACGTGTTCTGTCCATAGAGGGGATGAAGCCACCAAGTCACATCCGGGTGTCCGCTGTGGGAGTTGCAGTTCTGTTTGTTACAACTCGGTGTGACGGTGCCAAAGTGAGGGACTTAATGATGCCCTGTAAATAGGGCCTAACTCTCCACGCTGCTGAGCGTTCTCCACTGAGCTCAGAATTGGGAGATGGGAGACTGGATTCGGTGCGGCTCGGAAGTGGCCGTTCCCGGGTTGTGATTTATACTGACCCTGTGTACTCTATACCCTTAGTGCTCTGGGGCGCCTTTCACCTTCCAAACGTGGTCCGGCCATTAATCCTCACACGATACCCCGGGAGGGGAGTATTTCCCTGTCACCCAAAGTCGCACGTTGAGTGACCGCGAAGCGTTAGACTTTTGGGGAATTCCTAGCCCCCACCCCATTGCTAGTAGTCCTAGGCCTAGCCTCCAACTCCAGTAAGCACTGCTGACTTGTTCTCCTTGCTCGCAATTTCATAGCTTGGCTTGGTTCAAGTTATTTCCTTCTAGCGCCTGGTAGGCACATTTATCTGCCAGTTTTCAGCTGGTTCAGTAATTGTTTCCCAGCCAGAGAGAATAGCCACCAACTATTATACTAACAGTTGAGCTTTTCCCTAGGATGATTTTGAAATCAGGCACGCTCTTGCCAAACTCCAAAGCCATTCCTTCGCTACAAGGCAGCCTGACAGCAAGCCAGCCATAGCAGATCTCCTGTCTCCACGGCTGAGCCGGCTCCACCTTGCTTGGGCTGGAGAGAAAATCACGTCAAATATGAGGACCTTTGTTCTGCTCTTTGGATGGGGGAAGGGAGGGTTCTGCCCTGTGGCTGTCACTGTAACCAGATCTTGCAATGCTTCCTGGGTAATCCTGGCCATTGCTCCCTTTGGAAATCATGGTCAGCAGCGGCAGTCAAAAACGATGCAGAGCATGAATAACACGGTGTGATCAACACTGGGGGAAACTAACATTTGCACTTGCCAGGGCCACATCAGCAACTTGTTCAGATCATCAGCGGCTGAGCCCAGTTTGCGTGCAACGAAGCACATCACGGCCACCGTCGTCTTTAATATCAAGGCACAACTCTCAGCAGCAACAAACACTCCCTCCTGAGTTGAGTGGCCCTGCAGTCTTGGACCACGCTGCATGTCCCTCAGGGGGTTTGTTTTTTCTTTCTTTAATTTTTTGTGGGAAATTTTCACTTCAGCTGAAATTCTCCAAGTTTTCAGTAAAAAAAACCACACACCAAAACTAAAAAACTTTCAGTTTCTGTCTCCCCCCACCTTTTAATTTCCTTTTTATTTTCCCTGTTTCCAGTGAAAAAAGGGGAGAAGAAAAAGGGGGCATAAGGAAAAAGGATTGTTATTTGTTTGTAAAAAATCTGAAAAATCACTCTCCGAAAAATGGGTTTTATTTTTCATTCCTTTCAGAGATTTGCCCATAAAACCCTTTGTGACAGACTCTGTCCCTGCCACATTTGGGACCTGATTCTTTCCCATCCTGGCTTTGCATAGGCATCATTTCATTGAGCTCAGTGGACTTGCTGCAGATTCCCACGTGTGTCATTTAGATCAGAATCTGGCCCCCTGGGTGTCTAGATTTAGCCCAAGAAAATGCCAGTGATCTTGTTGCCCTGTTCCATTCCAGCTTGTGTTGACGCACGTACTGCCTTAGATATCGGAGCCCCTCTTTTCATGAGCATATAAAGTCTCGGGACACACTGGAGGCCAAATAAATCATTAGCACCATCACTATGTGTGTGTGTGATGTTAGGTTTCCCCTTGATCCCGCTGCAGTTGTAACCACAGGCCCGGAAAGCTGGAGGATCCAAGTACATACCGAAGGTGTGATACAAGGATGCAGTGTTCGCACTACAGCTCCCAAGGCGGCTGCTGCAAGTTGGCTGGGTCAGCTCAGTGCAAACCGGCTGTAAGGAACCAAAACACATTTGCAAGGCCTTCTGTTCCTTCAGGCTTTTTTGTTCTTTGATCTCGACCCACACTGGGCTCCTCTCTGCCAGGATAAACATCCCAATGTTGCAGGATCCGCCCTGGCGGACGCCAAAGCCAGCCAGCGCATCACGAACCTCTCCAGAAAATACTGCGCTTGAGGATGGGCTCCCAGAGCACCTGGAGGAAAGGGACGGCAGCTTCAGCTTCTCCACGCACCAAGCCACCTCCTGCCATCCTCGCGTCAGCCCTGGCCACATGGAACAGGCACTCGGGATACAAAGACCACATTTGTTTTGAGCTAAGGGTTCACCTGGCTTTGAAGTTACAGGCAAACCTTGATTCACTCAAATTCAGGTTTAACCAAAGATTGGTTGTGTCCTCTGAGCCTGGAGAGGGCACGAAGCAGAGCAGGGAAGGGATGAGGATTGCCGAAGTTAGCCGAACTCCCAGCGTTAGCATTATTCCAGAAGCTGCCGGTTTCATTGCCTGTGGGGTGTGTGCAGGGTTTCTCCAGTCCTGAACATGACGTGGAGCTGCATTGCTGCAAAGCTTAGGGGCTCCACGGGGCTGCACGGGGCTAGAGCTGCTGGGCTTTGCAGGAATGGAGCTGCTGGTTCTCCAAACAGCTGATCCTCAGAAGGTCTTGGTGTCTCCTCAGGATTTGAGTACTTGGGTTTTGCCTGCAAACTCTGATGCCAAACTCCTTTGGGTTGGCCGCCCCCGTTTGTGCACAAAGCTGGCCAGAGGATTGATTCAGAATGAATCTCGCAGCACATGTGAACTGTCAGAACGAATACGGCGTCTTTTTTATTTTTGGCTGCAAATGATCTGTTGTAACCGTAACATACAGTTGGCGTCATTCGTGGCTTTCCCCAGCGGATGGCTGGAATTACAAAAATATCGCCAAAAATGAAAAGCCTCCCGAAGGGACAACCATTAGAGCTCCATTCCTGAATGGCGTAGGGTGGGGATTAGTAATAGGCTCTGTTCCTAATCCCTTGATCTTTTCACTGCTTGGGACCGTTGGTCTGACTCCCCGCTGATTTGTGGTCAGTGGATCAGGCCCCAGATCTTGTTCGCTTTACTCCCAGAAGGAGTCCTGTTAGCTTCCACTGGATTGTTCGCTTGGGTGAAGCAAACAGAATTGAGCCCTCGGTCAGCTGTTTGGTGGCTTATATGGGCCTGTCTGGGAAATCTCATAACCACTGGGATGCCCGGAGTTAGATGAGATGAGGATGACAAGGACAGATCGCTTTCAGCACTGTGTCTGCTGGTCCTGGTTACATTCAGAGGACTGCAAGTCAGAGCTCCTGGGTTCCATTCACTGCTGCATGGGGCCAGTTAACCCCTTTGGGCCTGCGTTTGCCCGTCCTCTAAGTAGAGATGCTGCTGCTTCCCAGTGAGAGGCTCGGTGGATGTCTGTAAAGTGTTTGGAGACCTCCACGTGAACAGTGCAAGGCCAGGGCAAATCCTTCGGTTTTGTAAAGACAGTCTAGCCGTGAGCAACGCCCTAGCACTTCCCCGTTTGCACGGGAGAGCTCACCAGCACCGTGCATGCTGGGACCCGGCACAGCGCAGGTGCCAGGTAGATCAACACCTACAAACAGAAGGAAAATGAAGTTTCATGTTTGTGACGTAGCAGTCACCCTCCTTTCCCTGGCGGGGGCGTGCAGCACGTCCATGTCAGCTTGCTGGATATTTGTGGTTCACTTTTTAACAACTCCATCCTGGTTACTGAAGTTGATCTTCTGCCAGCAATGGGGAGCTACTGAAAGCAAATCCAGAAGGAAGCAGGAACAAAAACTTCCTTAGAGGTGCTCACTGTATTGTGTATGTATAAGAGACGAACCTGATCCAGGAAGTTCAGAGCCCAATCGGCTAGTGCCCCGAGTGTGTGAGGTTTGGATCCAGGACTCGCTTTCTGATACGTGCATGTTTATAATAAATATTATCATCAAGCAACAGAACGGACTGTGAGGGATGCTCCCTGTCCAAGAAACCTAAATCTTCTTTGCAGATCATTCCTCGGCGAGCGATGGGATCTCAACTCACTATCGTGTCTCCTCCGCTGGCCTGGGGCCCTTCCAAACCAGCAATGTGCTGCAGTTGACAAAGAAAGGAGGATTTAATAGAAATGCTCCATCGTGCCACATTTCGAGAGAAGTGCTGCTTTTCATTGAAGCTTTCCAACAGCAGTTCTGTTTCCTGTGGCGCCGAAACATTTCACCCCCCCACCCCCACCCCCAGAGAAACATCTGGTTAAGGATTTAGTTTTCGAAACACACAGACTTTGTTTTCATTGTCTTGTTTTTCTGTTTGGATGAGGGCGGCCTCATCCCGTGTCCGTGCGCAGGAGAGCGAGCGTGTGAGCCAAATAGCTAATCACTTCCCCACTCCCTGCAAGGTACGTGTCCGATTCACCAACTGCCTCGTATTTATGTGTAATACCCTAGCTCCTAGGAGCTAGGCGCTGTACAAACCCAGGACAAAAAACCTGTCCTGACCCCAATCTGCAGTTTGGAATGCTGGTCCAAGGCAGACTTGTGCCAAGTGAAGACGGCATTATCTCCATGCTATCGGGACAATACATTGCCTGGTAGATTTCAAGAGGACCTCAAAACCAACCCAAGATATTACCCATTGTGAACAGATATGAATTGATTATGTAAAATCCTTCCTCAAAAAAGGGGTCTTGGCTGGAATCTCCAGGGAATACCACAGGAAACCACTGTGTGTGTCCCCATTCCCAGTAAAACATGCGATGTCTCTTCAGCTGGTGTTTGACAGCTTTCCTGTAGCCAAAGCATACCGCATCTTGGACGGCTGCAGCGCCAGGACACCGGGATGAAGTTTTGCTGGCCTGAAATAACTTTAGTGCCCCTATGAGCTTGCAGGCCTGGAAAATGGGGTCTGCCCCAGAGCATGATGGGAGAGGGAGGTGCAGGCCTGCCTTCATAGAGCGAATCTAGCCAGGGGCTCTTCTAGCAATAGATAAACAAGGCAGCAGATCTGGCTCCTCTGTCAGGACAATTTGAGCGGCATTGTGACCCTGCGGGCCAAGTTGCAATGCTGCTCACTGCAGTTTGGCCCGGCCGCCTCTCTGGCGTGACGGAAGGGCGGCCAGGCCGAATCGGCTGCTGTAGGCCTACGAGGAGGGGGCGGAACATTGGTGTTCGAGCTGCCTGTGATGGCAGCAATCCTTCCCAGGGCCTTTAGGAATGACCCCTCCAGTAATGGGGCCTTAGGACTAGGAATGATTTGTGATGTGCTAGCCCCTGGAGGCCCCGTTTGGGAAGCCAGACCCTTTCGTGCGAGCGGCTGCGCACGCATCGTGAGACCGTCCCTGCGCCAAGGAGCTTAGAACGTAGAAAACGAGAGACAAGAGAAGGGTTCAGCAAACTGGAGGGGTGAGGCTACTGGGAGCAGCACAATGGAGTGGTCCCCAGCGGCACAGAACTGCCACTTCCACAGCTTCCTGGTCTCCCAGGAGCCCTGCGTGGGGTGGGGTGGGGGGCAGATCCGCTCCATGACCGCAGATTGGCCCTCAATGAAAGCTCCTGTCAGCAGCATTAGGCAGGAGTAATGCAGCTCGTTCCCAGCAGCCACAGAGGTAAAAGAAGACCGAAAAAATGCTGACGACGATTCCAGGGGCCGGTGCCTTGAGCCAAAGACAAAAAGGCTCGTACAGAACGAATGCAGTGGAAATTTAGGGTTGATTTAAAATAGGAATTGGGTCTATCGGTTGCTCTGCAGAAAAGCCAGTTCGCTGGTGTCCGGGGCCCCGCTGCGTCTCTGTGCAGCGTTTTAGAGTCTGGCCCGTGCGTTGCCAAAGAGCCTGATGAGAAAGTGGGAATCTCTGGCACTCTCGCAGTGAGTGGATTTCACCTCTGTGTCTTTGTTATTGACGCCAGGCCAGATCCTGCTCTCTGTTACACGGCTGTGAAGCCAGGCCTCTGGAACGCCACCAGGGTGATCTCAGCTGGCCTGGTGCCTCCGTGTGACTGACAAGCCAGTGAAGAGGTGTCGTGTTCAGGGTTGTTTTGTATCTGTCTTTCCGTTAGGCGGGTCTCTGCTCTACAGCGACGTGCAGTTCATCTATAACTCCCAGCAGCTGAACGGCACGCAGCGAGTGCTACTGGATAACGTCATCTCGGAGGAGGAGTGCCAGGAGCTGCGCAGAGTGGCCAATGTGAGCATCTGAGATGCCGGGGGGAGGGGGGGAGCTGCTGGGTGGAAGGGCAGGGACGGGGGGCTTGCTGGTTGCAGAGGAGCCACGTGGGCAGAGGGTCTGGGCCGGGGGAGTCATGTGCAGAGGGTGTAATTGTCTGGTTTTGCCTAACTGCACAAGGCCCCCAGCAAACACAAAGAACGTGTCTCCAATTCCAGCCTCCCACACGCACGTAACCGCTAACGAGGTCTCTGGGAGTTGCGTGGGTGTATCCAGGGTCAGAGGTTGGCTTCTGCAGCAAAACGGTGTGATCCATGCACTAGGGGAGCATATCAAAGGGCCGTCTGCAGTCCTCTCCAGTCCCACTGCCGGCCCATGCTGCAGCGCTGATAGACACCAGCTCGGGATCTGGCCCACTGTGTTTGCCAGTTACATAAGAAGACCCGGTTAGGGAATAGCCCACCCCAAATAATCCCTTTGCCTGGGTTCCAGGTAGCCCCTGAAGTGAGTTGAATCATCTCATTCGTGTTTCCCCGAGGGGTGCAGTTTGTTTACTTTTTGCATTTCACTCAGAGGGGACAGTGATAGCAGCGGGCCATTTTCGCTAGCTCTCTATCATTTTCTCCCGGTTTCTCTCTGCACACAGGGCCGTAAGCTTTGAGTTCAATAAGACTTTGGCGGGGAGCCTTGAATCCCACAGCAGATATTTTCATTTTAAAAAAACTGGATGACATTTAAGGAAAGTTCATGAGTTGCGAGGATAATTTTCCATTTTGCTTCTTTAGCAAAATTTGAGCTGTGTTCTCGAACAATACTACCCAGCTTGTACATAGTGCTTTCAACCCAGAGATCTCCAAGGACTTTGCAGAGGAGATAAGGATCATTATCCCCATTTTAGAGAGGGGGAAACTGAGGCACCGTGGTGGAGCGGCTTGCCCGAAAGCAAAGTTGTAGCTGAGCTAAAAACACAGCCTTGCACTCCTGAATCTCTCTGGGTTGTCACAGAGCCATGGCGGCTCAATTGTCATCTCAACCAGTAACGGTGTTGCAATCGGCCCTTAGCCATTGACGGTGACCAAAGCAGAAGGGAACTCACCTAATTCCGTCAGTATTTCTTATTGGTGAGGGTTAGATATTTTGGGGGGGCAGAGCAGGATAAACCGGATTTGGGGGTTTCTGCTCAGGATAACCAATGTCCCTGCCCTCTGACCTCTGCTCATGTCTTTTCTTCCAGGGGATCATGCTGGCTGGAGATGGCTATCGTGGGAAAAGCTCACCCCACACCCCCAACGAGAAGTTTGAAGGGGCCACCGTCCTCAAAGCTCTCAAGGTGCGATTTGCCCCTCTCTCCGGGGCTCGGGGGGTGCTCTGCCCCCCTCTGGGCAACCGGTGCTCACTCTGGTATGTGCTTGCCCTGCAGTTCGGCTACGAGGGGCGCGTCCCGCTCAAGAGTGCCCGCCTGTTCTACGACGTCAGCGAGAAGGCCCGCAGGATTGTGGAGTCCTACTTCCGGCTGAACTCCACCCTTTACTTCTCCTACACGCACATGGTGTGCCGCACCGCCCTGCCGGGTAAGGGGGGCAGGGGCCGGCCTGGCGGCTCAGTGCTAACGAAACAGTCCGGAGGGAGGGAACGGCACTGTTTGTACTGTCTCCTGCCTCAGAGATGCCTCGCCCACGTCCTCCCTGGAGGAAGCCACCTGCAGGGGTCATGAGTTTGTTCGTTCTTTCGTTCTTCATCTCTCGTCTGCCTCTCCTCCTTCCCCTCTCTGTCTCAGTGCCCCCCGCTTGCTCTCAGTCACCCCAGATTGGCATGTCTGTTCCATCTGACCCACGGTGTTTCCCGCCTTGCTGCGGTGGGCGCAAGGCAAGTGTCAGTTCTTTGTCTCCGGGCTCCCCGTAGTCCCCCTCTTCGCCCGCGGTCTTTGCATATTTGCTGGCAGCGAGACCCCTCCCGAGTGCAAAGGCCACTGTGGGGAGCTGAGCTCGGAGACCCTGTCCCACTCATCTCACCTCTTCCTCTCCCCCCCGCGTGGTACTGCCTAGGCCAGCAGGAGAAAAGGAACGACCTGAGCCATCCCATCCATGCCGACAACTGCCTGTTGGATCCCGAGGCCAGCGAGTGCTGGAAGGAGCCCCCGGCCTACACCTTCCGGGATTACAGGTAGGAACGCGGGGCTGAGATGCCGTGTGCCAGATGCAGGTGCCAGGCCAGGGGAAACAGAGCGGGCATGTTCCTCGCTGGGCACCAGGTCGGTGGGGCGTGACCACGAGAGCCCGCTTTGGCGCCGATGCCTGGTAAAGGTCGGCCGCCCTAGAGCAGGTAGATCCCAGCCAGCGATGGGCTGAGGAGGCAGGCTCCGGATCCATGGTACGGTCGTGGTTTTAGGAGGAATTGGGGCCAAGGTCCAGGCAGCGGTTGGCTGCGGCAGCCCCATGGTATTCTAGGCTGTTTCACCCACCTCGCAAGGCTGGCCAGTCTGGGGAGATGGTCAGCACATCCATGCCAGGAAGGACGGAGGTGCGTCCCTGCTGGGCTTAGATACAACCCAGAGGGGAGATTACCCACCCCCACCCAATCTCCATCCCCCACATACCTGCCCCTGCTAGCACCCACAGGACAGGCGGGACTCGAACCCCTGAAATCCTGTGGGCCCAGCCACGTCCCATTGACGTCAGTGGGAGCCTTTCCCTGGCAGGCGGAGTGGGGCCTGGGAGAGTGGTGAGCATTCTTCTTCCCACTGGCCCACGGGCAAATCCTGTGTTTGTTAATGTCCACTGTGAGCCCCTCCCCTCCCGCCCGGGGCGGCCAGCCAACCTCACCGGGGTCTTGTCGTTCTTCCCCCAGCGCCCTGCTGTACATGAACACGGATTTTGAAGGCGGGGAGTTTATATTCACGGAGATGGATGCCAAAACTGTTACTGTGAGTAAACCGCCTTGGCTGGCAAAGCCGATGTCAGTGGGTTGGCTGAGGAGATCCATGTTGTTTTCCTTCCTAGTCCGTTCCTCCAGAGCACCGGGTTTTGTACTAGGGGAGAGGAGGCCCCATGGGAGTTCCTGAACCGGAGGCTGGTCCCGCCTATCTTGTCTCTCAAGTGTCCAACACTATGAACTGCCCAGGGTGCGTGGGACTTTGGTCCAACTCCTCAAAAGTATTTAGGAGTTCGGCACCTGAATATCCTTTTGAGGGATTGGGCCCTTAGAGTTCTTGTTCCCTACACTTAACGCTGAGCAGTGCCGTAAACAGAGCTGGTCTATTGCTTTTTCCCATCGGCCAACGTTTGATGGCAGAGGAGTTAGACGAAATGCACGGTCTGATGATGACGCTGATATTCAGCAGTGCTTTCCGTCAGAAGAGCTCGAAGCCCTTGAGAAATATTAGATAAGTCTCATGCCTTGGTGAGGAGGATTGCGATGGTGATTACCCCAGTTTACAGATGGAGAAACCGAGGCACGGAGAGGCGATGCAGCTTGCCCAAGGCTGTGCAGCGGGTTAGCATCAAGCCTAAAAAGAGAACCCAGGTGTCCTGACAAACAGCCTTCTTTTTTGGCCACCCAGTGATGGTCTAGAGGGAACCTGTTCATAAGGCAGCACAAATGTCAAGCGGCTAACTTCGTTCCCTGGGACGTGTTCACAGAGCTCTTCCGCTCTCTGCTAGCGTGTGTCAGCAAGCAGGGATTGGTCGAGCCACTCGGGAAGATGCTTGTTAACTTCCTTTCCAAGCTGAGTCACACAGAGATAGCAGGGCGGAGTGCGGGAAAGATACACGCCGCTGTTGCTGAACAAAACTGACCCTGGTCTCCTTGGAGGCAATGGAAAAACACTCAGTGATTTCAGTGGCAGCAGGATTGGGCCCTCAGGAGTGAAAAGGGTAACACATGCTGGGATCTAGTTAAAGGGCTACAGCTGGGGCCGTGGACAGCCAGGGCTTTTCAGATGACTTCAGCTATGACCTCAGACGAGGGGGCCCCTTCATAAAACAGTCACATCCCTAGCCTCGGTAACCTTAGACTAGAATCCATTCTAGGTGTAATCTGGAAAGACATTCACCATCCTAATGCTGCAGAACAAGGCTACCCAGAGTGTGAGGTCTTCAGTGTGGCCCACAGCCACCCCCTCTCTACAACGGCCAATGAGGACAGCCTTAACCGGCGGGAGGGTTTTTATTGCTACCGAATTAAGCTAACAAGCAATTTCTGTTCCTCTGTCATGAGTAGGGTGACCAGACAGCAAGTGTGAAAAATCAGGACAGAGGGCCGGGGGGGGGGGCGAATAGGAGCCTATATAAGAAAAAGACCCAAAAATCGTGACTGTCCCTATAAAATCGGGACATCTGGTCACCCTAGTCATGGGAGATACGAGTGGAAGCAAATTTAAAATTTTTATTAAATCTAATGTTAAAAAAGTTATATAATACATAGGTTGGGAACAGAGTGTCTGTACATCTGGGCATAGTGCTTAGATTATCCACAAATACAAAGTTCGTTTTTAAAAGTCATATGATACATAGAGTACATAATCCGCAATAACCCACATTTAGGTGAATAGATTTAACAATACAGTTTAGATATTAGAATCTGAATACTCAGGTACATCACTCATGAGAAGTTGGACAGAGATTTGGTTGTGGAAAGCAAAATATATCAATGAGAGGGGATTGTCCCTCTCTGATTGAGAATTAGGTTGGTTGTCCATTTAGAAAATACAATCCATGAGGAAAGTATTTGTTACTTTCCCTACTAAAGCCGTGTCGTAACCTTGCTGCTGGCATCCCGTGCGCCTACAATCACTCAGGATTCCTGACCTCTGCAAAGAGTGGATTTTTGGAATCTCTGATCCATTAAGTAAAAGGTTTAGACTAAGACACAAAGTTTATTTAAAAAAAACCTGGCAGGCTGGCCAAGGATCCTACTTCGTGTGGTTACCCAATTGACTGAGCTTCTGCACCCCCTAGTGGTCAAATTTGAAGCAAGCAAGACAAGGTGGGTGAGGTACAAAACTTTGCCTCTCTCGCCAACAGAAGTTGGTCCAATAAAAGATATGACCTCCCCCCACCTTGTCTCTCTAATATCCCAAGACCAACATGGCTTCAACAACACTGTATCATAGAAAAGTAAGGTCATCAAATCTGGCCCCCTGCGCTGCGGGAGGACCAAGAAAACCTAGACCATCCCTGTTCATTCTGTTCTTAAAAACCTCCAGTGACGGGGATTCCACAACCTCCCTGGGGAGCCTTTCCAGAGCTAGAGAGTTAGAAAGTTCTTCCTAATGTCTAACCTACATCTCCCTTGCTGCACATTAAACCCATTGCTTCTGATCCTCTCTTCAGTGGACATAGAGAACGTGTGATCCCTGTTCTTTTTAGAACAGCCTCTCACATATCTGAAGATTGTTATCAAGTCCCCTCTCGGTCTGCTTTTCTCCACACTAAACATGCCCTGTTTTTTAAACTTTCCTCATAGTTCAGGTTTTCTAAACCTTGGATCATTTTTGTTGCTCTCCTCTGGCCTCTCTCCAGTCTGTCCACATCTTCCCTCAAATGTGGCACCTTGAATTGGGCACAGTACTCCAGCAGACGCCTCATCAGTGCTGAGTAGAGCAGGACAATTACCGCCAACGTCTTACATACGATACTCCTGTTAACCCACCTAGAATGATACAAGTGATATCCTTTTTAAAAAATAAGCCAATCACAGTGCACGGTTAGATTGTAAGTGTGTCCCCATCCTTGTCTCCTCCACTCTCCAGCCACCTTCATTTAAAGACAGAATTTGTGCTTGCTATGAGTCCTTTGAATTCAGTTCAGTGTTGATAAATGCAAAGTAATGCACATTGGTGATGTATAATCCCAACTATAGATATACAATGATGGGGTCTAAATTAGCTGTTACTACTCAAGAAAGAGATCTTGGAGTCATTGTGGGTAGTTTTCTGAAAACATCCACTCAGTGTGCAGCGGCAGTCAAAAAAGTGAACAGAATGTTGGGAATCATTAAGAAAGGGATAGATAATAAGACAAAAGATCATATTGCCTCTAGATAAATCCATGGTACGCCCACATCTTGAATACTGCGTGCAGATGTGGTCACCCCACCTCAAAAAAGATATATTGGAATTGGAAAATGTTCAGAAAAGGGCAACAAAAATGATTAGGGATATGGAATGGCTTCCATATGAAGCGAGATTAATAAGACTGGGACTTTTCAGCTTGGAAAAGAGACAGCTAAGGGGGATATGATAGAGGTCTATAAAATCATGACTGGTGTAGAGAAAGTAAATAAGGAAATAAGAACAGGAGTACTTGTGGCACCTTAGAGACTAACAAATTTATTAGAGCATAAGCTTTCGTGGACTACAGCCCACTTCTTCGGATGCATAATAAGGAAATGTTATTTACTCCTCGTCATAACACAAGAACTCGGGGTCACCAAATGAAATTAATAGGCAGCAGGTTTAAAACAAACAAAAGGAAGTACCTGGTAATGTTTTCACACAACGCACAGTCCACCTGTGGAACTCTTTGCCACAAGATGTTGTGAAGGCCAAGACTATAACATGGTTCAAAAAAGAACTAGATTCAGGCAGTCTTCGGACTTACGACACAATTGGTTTCTGAAAATTGCATTGTAAGTCGAAATGTTGTAATTCGGAACCACAATCCACTCCACTCCACTCGGGACCGAATGTCGTAAGGTCAAAACCAATTGTCGTAAGTTAAATCAGAGTGTCAATTCAGAAATGTCTTAAGTCGAACGTCGTAAAGTCGAGGACTGCCTGTAATTCATGGAGGACAGGTCCATCAATGGCTATTAGCCAGGCTGGGCAGGGATGGTGTCCCTAGCCTCTGTTTGCCAGACGCTGGGAATGGGCGACAGGGGATGGATCGCTTGATTCTCTGCTCTGTTCATTCCCTCTGGGGCACCTGGCATTGGCCACTGTTGGTAGACAGGACACTGGGCTAGATGGACCTTTGGTCTGACCCAGTCTGGGCGTTCTTATGTTCTTATGTATGAAATATCAACTGCCCAGTTCTCTGTTTGAAAGGCACTTTTGGAATGAGGAGTCCAATGCCAGGCCTTTAGAGAAATGTCTGTTTTCAAAAGTGCTCGTCACCCCTTTGGTGTGTCCGTTCAGCCCGGATATTGCAGGAGGTCCACAGCCACGCAGGCTGCAAGGGAAATCAGATCGATTGACCAGGGCTGGGCCAATGGTCCTGAAATTCAGGAGTCTCTTGTATTCCAGCACTGAAGATGACCCTGTATTAGGAGTGACTCTGCAGAAAGCGCTGATTCTAGAACTGCTCCCACGTTGAGCCATGTGGATCAGGCTGAAGCAGGCAGTTTAAAGGACATCAGGCAGGGCCCTGCTTCCTGGGGGCTTGCCAGGCCCCCTTGCCGAGCCGTTGCAGTGATTCAGAGTGAATTCAGCCAGGCTAGACTGTAGCAGCATCAGGGTCAGGTTTGCTTTATATGTTGTTTCTATAGCTAGCCACAAGCCATAAGTTATTCCGAAGCCAGCTTCAGCCATCTCTGAATATTATCTGGCCCCATCAGAGATTACATATGGCTCCAAAAGAGGGAGAAGAGGAACATTGCTCGTGTTTCATAGAGTCCTGGTTTCCAAGGCTAGAAGGAACCTTTGTCTGACCCCTGTATAGCACAGGCCAGAGAACTGCCCCAAAATAATTCCCAGAGCAGGTCTTTTAGAAAAACATCCCGCCTTGATTAAAAATGGTCAGTGATGGAAAATCCACTGTGACCCTTGGTAAATTAACCATTGGAGCAGTTACCCTCACTGCCAGAAATGTATGCCTTATTTCCTTGTATGCAGTCAGAGTGTGATGGTCAACCTGATCTCATTGAAGGAACATCTAATTATGACCTAGTTTGAGCACCGCTGGTTTGCAATGATGGAGTGTGTTGCACTGAATTTTGCACAGACTTTGCACACTGCATCATCTTTTCTGGGTTATTCCTCTGCAACAGGACGGAGCTCTTCTTCTGGAGCTAAATGCCCATCTTGGCACTAAGTTTTTGAGTATCCTGGAGCTATCCAGAGAGATCCATTAAAGTCAAGGGCCTGAACTGACGGGAATCCAGGGCAACACAAGAGATCTGCACTATGCTGGTTCTTTGCCATGAGTCTAAATGCTGGTTGTGTTTGCAATGTTTTATTTGGTTTTGTTTTTGTTTTTTTTACAGGCTTCTATCAAGCCAAAGTGTGGGCGCATGATCAGCTTCTCGTCCGGCGGGGAGAACCCCCACGGGGTCAAAGCAGTCACCAAAGGCCAGCGGTGCGCTGTGGCCCTCTGGTTCACTTTGGACCCACTTTACAGAGAGCTGGTGAGTTCTTTCATCGTGACAGGAGCAGAGACAGTCACGAATGGCAAGGGGGGTCTAGCGGGAAGCTAGTGGAAAACCAGGGAGCTCCGTCATGTGCAGCAAAGAGGCCCCTCTGCCTAGCCACAAAGATGCCTGCCTAGGCAGAGGTGTTGTGTCTGCCTCGGAACCAGGGGATGTTTCCACAGCCGGGTGGAACCCATCTTCAGGGCCTTGGATACTGTCATGATGTACAGAGCATAGGGTTGGAAGCTGGAAAGGGACTTTTGGGATCAACCAGCGTCCCCCAAGCAAAACGAACCCTTCCCCCACCCCCAATGAAGGCAATAAATGTATTGTAGCAGGCCTGGACTGGGAGTCAGGAGATCTGGATTGAACTGTGTGACCTTCACTTCTCTGGGCCCCAGGTCCCATCTGCACAGTGGGGACAGTCCCCTGTCCTGCCTCAGAGGGGCTTGCGCTGATAAATTCGGCCATGTTTGGGAGCTGCCTATTACGACACTGGGGGGTGGAGAGCTGGGCAGATCGTGGTTATACTGAAACCTCCACTTAGAGGGTGACAGGGCAAGTGCCAGGTCTCTGTGTAACCCACTAGCTGGTGTGATTTATGTCCCCTGCAGTGCCTGGTCTGAGGGGGTCAGTCGGTTACAGAGCTGGGCTCTTTGCCTCAAGCTGTAGAGACTCGTGCGCTTTGTTCTGCAAGTCGTAGAGTGTAAGGGCAGACGGGACCACCAGATAATCCAGGCTGACCTCCGGTATCTCACAAGCCACCAACACCACCCAGTCACCCATGCACCAGCTGGACCCCTGGGTTGGGCCAAGGTGGCAGCCATCACATATGCACCAGTCAAGTCCTGGGACTCGTCCTTGAATGGGACTGGCCTGGTGCATAGCCCTCGGTCTGGGCTCTCCCCAGAGGGGACTGTCACCCTAGAAGAGGATTTGTTGTACTGGATCAGCTCAGTGGTTCCTCAGGTCCCTCCTGCCCCAAGCGTGACAAAGCGCTTCAGAGGAACACAAAGAAAACCCATAGTGCACCTGGCCCGTTGTGCCCTGTTGTGGGCCGGGGGCTACAAGCGCCTTCCTCACCCCGTCATGTGTATTGCCTTGAAGCCTGGGCCGCCTCTACCCACATCGGTCTGAGCCTCTAGAACTGCCTCTGTCACTGAGAGGCATCAAAACTGGGGCCGGGGTTTTCAAAGGGCTTCAGAGAGTGAGCTGCAGGAGACCCAGGGAAAGGAGTTCCTTGCTCCCCCAGCACTGCTGAAAATCTGCCCGTGTGTCTCTTGTGGCAACGCCTTATCGGTCACTCCCAGCGTGAGGGAGGTGTGCAGGGGTGGAGGGAAAGCTCCCTGCTCTGCGATTAACCAGCTCTACCTCCCCAGGGCTGTCTACACTGCAGCTGGGGGTGCGAATGGCCACTGTACATAGCCACGAGGACGCCGCGGCTTGGCCTTCGCGAGCGAGTACGTCCTGGGCTTGTACTGCTGTTTGTAGTGAGCTAGCCAGGTCCATCTGCACAAGCCGCCGGTCACACCCCAGGCTGCAGTGTAGACATAGCTCCAGTGTCCCTGGTTTGTTCTAGACCCAAATTCACCTCGCAATTCTGCCGTCCTCTCACCTCCTGTTTTTGTAACTTCTTTTTCCCTCCTCCAAAGACTGGCTCCCGCCAGGGAGCGCACAGACAGGGGTCAGGATGCTAAAGGAAATGGATTTGAGCTAAATGCCCAGAGGGTTTCCCGTGTGACCCTAGCGTGGGCTGCGTTTTTGGCCAGGTCTCGAAGCAGGGCCTGCAATCTGGGCCCGGCTCTGAGGGTGTGTCTACACTGCAGACAGACACCTGCGGGCTGCAGGCCAAGGTCTGGGAGCCTCCCACCTCGCAGGGTCCTAGAGCCTGGACCCCAGCCTGAGCATGAACATCTATGCTGCAGCTAAACCACCTCTTTGCTCACGCCCCCCAAGCCCAAGTCGGCTGGCCCCTGCCAGGTTCTTAATTGCAGTGTAGACAGAACCTTGGAGTGATCTTTTTGCTGAGCATTAGTGACACCTAGTGGACAATTCAGTTAATGACCAGTAGCCCAATGGAAATCCACAGCAAGGGGGAGGACCAGGAGCGCACCCCGGCTTTGTGAGCGCACGGTGCTTTCAGCCAGTGATCTCAAAGCCCTTAACAACCATTAGTTACTTCAGCCTGGTAGGGCCCTTTTCACCGATGGCAAAGTTCTGGTACAGGGGGTTAAACAGCTCCCTCAGGGCACACTGCAAGTCATCGGCAAAACAGAATAAAGCCCAGGAGCCTTGACACCGAGTCTACTAATCCAGTTGTTAGACTGTGCTTCTGCTTTCTGGGCTCTGGCAACCACAGCCCGTCCATCCCTTGGGGCCTTAGTTTAGGACACATGTACATGGCGGTGCTGTCGTGATTTGTGTTGTGCTACGTGCTGTATATGCATTGGACGAGACCTGCCCCAAAGAGCTTCAAATCTAGGTAGGCAAGACAGTCAAAGGGTGGGACGGGAAACTGAGGCACAGAGCAGTCACGTGACCTCCCCAAGGTCATACAGCAAGGTCATGGCAGGGCTGAGAATGGCTCTCCCAAGTGCCAGCTTAGTGTCCAATCCATTAGACTGCACCATGTCCCCAGGTGAGTTGTGCCGAGGTCTTATACTGGCCTTCTGTGCCAGGATGAATTTCCTCCTTGATACAGAAATAGCTCAGAGACGAGAGGAGACACCGACACCGTTGCTGATGTTTATTCCTCCTTCTCCTCCTCTTCTCTGCAGGAGCGAATCCAGGCAGACGAAGTGATAGCGACGTTAGACCAAGAGCATCGAGGAGCCAGCGACCTGAACATCAACCCAAAGGACGAGCTATAAACTAGGCCAAGGACTTTCGATTAAATATTTATTTAATATTGTTAATCCTATTAGAACCCTTTTATTTTTATACAGAGCCTCGGTATAAATGAAGTGGTTAATACGAACATGGCGCCTCTGTGTTTTGGCACAGCTCCCTCTGGGCCCCATGTGCGCACCTCTCCTGCTCGGGCTGACTCTTCCGGCTGCATTCACTGGTCTTCCCCAGCACTTCTATTCGCCTGACAGGCTCTCTTCCCATTCCTCAGGCAGGGGTCTCTCCTCAGACCCAGACAAGGAGAACATAGAGTGAGAGTTCCTGGAGGATCACATGCCCCATTCCCGGCAGGGCGCTGACCGCAGATTGAGGGGAACTGGACAGTTCTTGCGTTGTCCTGGGCTCGTGCAGTGGAGGTCAGACCTGGCTGGTTTGGTTTTTTGTGGTGTCTCCCCTTCCAGAGCCATTCGCGGAGTCAGGTCTGAATCCTGCTGCGGGAAGTGTCCAGGCTCCTGGTGCATGGCTCGGATCTGGCCATAAATTGCTGAGCGCAGCCCGGGGGTTGGAATTGCCCTTTAAGAAATCATGTCCGCTGAGCACAAGATGGACCTGCTCTCCAGCAGGCTCCCGCATGTGCTTTGCACAAGGCCCAGGCAAAGGGGTGTGAAGAAAAGGGGACTAAGCCAAGCCGCTTGATTTCCAGCTGCTCCACGGTGAGATTGGCACGCTCCGTGATTGCATTTTCTCCATTAACAGCTTGGGGTGCTGCTGTCATCTTTGGATAGGTCCATCAATGGCCTATCATTGGTCATCAATAACGGGTGCCACTACTGGTGAAATTTAAGGTTAGACGTTCCCAGACCCAGGCCCATGCAGTACAGCTTCTGACAGTGTCAAGGATGTTATGATGACATGCTGCTGGGGGTGCATTTTGCATCTGTTCACGGGCAAGAGACTGTAGCTACATCCTGTCCCGGGGCGTGAGCGCATGCCCTGCCGCAGCAAAAGCCATTTATGCTCCTGTCGGTGGTATGTGCTTACTGCGTTCTTCACTCGAAGTGTAATGCCTTGGAGGATCTGGCTTCTTCTAGGGGTAGCGTGGGCTGTTTGTTAAGCTCATGAGCTCTGGTAGGCCACTAAGTCCGTATCTTGCTGTGTCGTCTTCTCCACTCGTAGGGTGAATATAACTCTGGGGCCAGGATGGGAGGGCTACAGGCTCAGATCCTCCGCTGCCCTAAATCAGCGCAATCATTGAAGCCAGCGAGGATCCTAACCCTCAGTGCTGGCCCCATGCACAGGGGTGATTCTCACCCCAATCCATCAGCTGCAAAGCAAAGAGCACCTTGGCAGACTGGGAAGTGGGGGTCCCGGCGATACTGGCCCTTTGCCAAAAAGTGCTGCTGGGAGCTTGGCCCTTGCTCAAAATCCCTCTGCTCCTCCCTCCCCCCCGGCATTTCGAGGGCATTGGGAATCTGATCCCATTCACTTGTTCTCTCTCCTCTATAACGGCGCTAATGCTGAACCTGCCCCAAGTTTCCCTGAATCTGCAGCAATGCCGTCCTCCTCCTGGCTGCAAAGGCCTTCCTCAGGGCTTGTCTGCTTCCAAAGTCGCCACCTCAGCGGGCAGGGGAACTGGTGCTCATGCGCTTGCTCTTGTTCAGATAGACCTCTGTCAAAATGCCCAGCAGCTTCATGCCTTAGCGCAGGCGCGGAGCCATCTCAGTGCGGGCTGCTCCTGGCGGCAGGTCGATTACGTGACCAGGCCCGGAAGGGGCAGAGCTACATCCTTGCAAGGGAAGAAGGGCCTTTACTGCGTGCCCCTGAGCCAGAATTTGCTGCCACCTTCCTGCTGAGGCTGGGAGGGGGCAACGTCCCTCAGCCCAGGTGGTACGAAACCATGCAAACGGCTAGCTTTCGCTCTGGCCCTGTTTCCCAGGGGTTCTTGCCCCAGCCCCAGGTCTGGTGGGATCAACGTTTTTGTTTCGGCGGTACGACGGAGGCAGCATGCAGGTGCGGTAGGTTCCCTCCAACATGCTGCGAGGCTGTTGCAAATCTTCAGCCTGTTTCTTTTCTAATATCCCAGCCCCCCCTGTAATGTCTCTTCCAGAACCAGGGGTGCCCTGTTCAAACCGCAGGAGCAGCAATGCATGAGGAATGGCATTTACGTCCTTACAGGCGAGCTCCGTGAGCTGCTGCCCCACACTGACCCCTAGTGCCTAGTTTATTAATCAGCAAATGCTTCGTCTATGTTGTACGAGGGGGTTTACATGGCTTCCCCCTTCATTAACGCATCAACACTAGCTCCCACCCTGTCTGTGCGGGGGTTGGGGTCCAGCGGCTTACCCTGCCACTGCAAATCCCAGGAGCCCTAAAACACCCCCAGCTCCCCTGCAAAAGCAAGCCTGCTCGTCTCCACCCACCTGCTGCGCACTCCAGTTCTCAGTGCCTCCGAAGCCAGAAGGGCACAGCCCTATTTACATGCATCTCCCTCGGTTCTTGCAGCGGCCGGTGAGGAAAGGAACAACACGGCAGATGCGCTATCACGCTCCCATTGCAGGTTGTGATTTGGTTGCTGCTATTTTGCTGTTAGCGAGAGAGCTGTGTCTAAACCCAGGGGAATAAACTCCACAGAGGACACAGCCTTGGCCTCGGGTGATATATCCAGACAGGCCCACGATCGGCTGGGAGGAGGCCTCTCTGGAGGAAGCGTTGGTTTTTGCACTTGCAGTGGTCACTTGTTTCCACAGCTGTAAGTTAACTATTGGGTAACACAATAGGTTTGGAAAGCCCTCATTCGCCTCTGTATCGGCGCTAAAGGAGCCCAGGCAGTCGTAGACACAGCAGCCACTTTCTTAGAGCTTTCTCAGTGACAATGGGTGTGCCAGGTGGGGTTTGGAAAAGGCCTTGGGCACTGTAGCTTAGTTCCTTGTTACCTGAGCCAGACCCCTCCTCGTACTAAAAACAGCAGCTCGGACAGGTTTAGCAGAGTCTGAGTTATGTCTGAAAAGGGCACAAAGGAAGCTTGCTAGCAGGGACATGGATGTAAGAACGTACTTAGCTGGCTGACAGGCAGGGTGTTTGCGTTTGGGTGGGGATGCGACGGCTGAAAGACAGCGCTGAGCTATCTTACTCAGAAGGATTTGATTCAAGTGGGATGGTCCTTTTCTTGGCATCGTTTATCCAGCCCAGGCCTCCCTGCAGCAATCTGCCCTCTCCTGCAGCTGGGGCACGGGGCGGTTCCCCTCTGTGGTTTTGGGTCTCCCAGAGGGATTTATGACGCCGTAGCATAGTGCTGGACCTCAGCCATAAGAACCCTTTGCACTTAATAGCAAGGCTCCCTTCTGAGGGGCTCAGAGCACTTTAGGGACAAGACATTAATCCCCGAGGACGTCGGTAAGGAACGTCTCATTGTCTCTCACCTGAGATGCAGCGCAGGGAAAGCCCCCTATCATCAGAGCAACATAGGTGCCTAACTCCCTTGGGCTTCCCCTTGCAAGGACGCAAAGGCAGGAACATCAGGGAAGTGCCTATTGAACGCTGTAGGGAGCTGGCCTCTCCTTGGCAGGCTTGGCAAAGCCGCTTCCACTGCTTGGCAACCGGCGATCTATTTACAGCCCCGGTTCCCCACATGTCCCGCTGGGCCGAGCGGCTTGCAAGGGCCACCAGCAGCAAGACAGTTGGATGAGGGACGTTCGGGGAGGCTGCAGGAGCCAAGTTGCTCAGCCCGATCGCCACCCCCAGCGTGGTTGGTCAGCTTTGCATTACAGCTCCTGGGTGGCTACAAACCCCAGCATGGCGAGGCTGGGCCTTGCCTAGGAAAAGTGGGTGAGTTTACAGCAGGCATTGCTCGCACCCCCGTGCTAAACCCCCCCTTTGCCCCAGGGCGGGTGCAGGTGACAGCCGTGAGGCTGATCCCAGCTGCTCATGTTCGAGCAGGACCTTCAACTGCCAGCTGAGAGAGCTGTTTTCTGTGAGTTTTCATTTTAAAAAATAAACCTCAAAGAGTCATTTTTCAGTGTCAAGGTGCTCCGGTACCAGTGGCGTTAGTCAGAGACAGGCTCCCTTGGCAACTGGGCTCAGCTCCCTAGGCCTAACAAAGCCACATCGGGGTGGAAGCTGGCCTGGGACTGGGAGCAATCCTATTCACGGCCCTCCCATCCCAGCATCCTGCGTGGCCCCACAAAGTCACGGGACCTCCCCCTAGCCCTGGCTAAAACGGCCATCTATAAAACCAGGGAGAGGAGGTTGGCCGATGGGGTCTCTTGTGACTGTGGGGCCTGTTTCCGATCCTCCGTCCGCTCACGCAGCCGGGCAGAGTTCCTCTGGGCGGCGTCCGCTGGCTCCCTTGATGCTTTTGAGGAGCAGTGGGCGCTGTCCGGGGTTCTCTGCTCGGTGTCCCCGTCAGGTTCCCTTAGGTTGACCTCACTCCTGTCCCTGTTATTTTATTAGTTGTCCCCCGGAATTATTTGGCTTTCAGGTCCTGTGGAGCCTCCCCTTAGGCTGGGGGAAGGTCCTTTAGCAGCGATGGGCTTTGCCCGCCCGCTTCCTGGATCGCAATCGGATCCTGCCAGCTACCCCGGCAGAATGGGGACCAGGGACCAACTCAGGAGCTGTAGATCAGGCCCAGAACAGGAGCAGGCTGGAGGAAATGGCCTTGCCCCCAGGTGCCAGCTCTCACCCATTTCTAGAACCTGTCTCCAGCGCATGCACGCCACAGCCCCGGGGCGTGTACCCTCCACCCGCAGCTACCTCACGTCCAGTCCCAACCCCGTGCTAACACCACTAGAGCTGGTGCACTAGGAAAAGTTGAATCTGGGAAAAGTTGAAATGCAGAATGTCAATTAGCCTGCCACTCCCCCAGAATAGCCACAATTTAGAGTAAAGGGGGGGGGATGTCGCCCCGAAGGATCCGTACTGATCACTTAGGGCACGGCTTCACTGGCAACGTTAACGCGCTGCCTGGCTTCTGTGGTCACGGCGCAGCGCTGGGAGCGCGCCGCTACACTGCTAGCGCTGGGGCACTGTCTACACCCGTGCTTTACAGCGCTGTAACTTGCTGTGCTCAGGGGAGTGTTTTTTCACACCCCCGAGCGAGAAAGTTGCAGCGCTGTAAAGCGCCAGTGTAGACAA